TAAAACGTGCTTAAAACATTAACACAAGTGCCATTATCCCGTGAAGAAGCAGGGAATGACCAGGCAAGAAACAGCAGAAAGTCATTCACGCAGAAATTCCCTGAATGAGTTACTGTTGTTTTTTGCCTAGTTCTTCATGGGATAATGGCACTTTAATCACTTTTTATCTCAATGTCATGTGAAAACTATTCATGCATTTGCACACAAGTGCGGATTAATCACAGATTCTGCATGGGATAAATACGCTTTTTTGCGTGAAAACCATTCATGCAATTGTGGGTTAATCATGGGAACCATTTATACTTCCAATTTTTGGAACCATTAATCATGGGAACCATTTATACTTCCAATTTTTCCCTGTGTGATAAACTCCTCAGAGAAAAGCCACCATTGCATTGAGAGAAATATCAACACAGCTACTCTTAGATATGTTTCCTTGATGTGAAGATATTGCATTTTAGCTGCAATTGTTGAATTCTAAAGAGGGAACCAATGGACTAGGATTTTACTATTTGAGGTTTCAATCTCCAACAAAACTAAAAATTGTTTGTTTGTTTTTTACATTTGGCATGTTTTACCTAACAGCACCTAAAATTTTCCTAATGTAAAAGCATGGAGGCTTCTTGAGAAATTCAAGTTTTGCTGCCTAACAAAGGGGTTTATGGAGAGCCAGCATGGCGTAGTGGTTTGGGTGTTGCACTAACACTCCAAAGACCAGGGTTCGATTCCTGCTTGACCATAAAACCCACTGGAAAACCTTGAGCAAGTCACACTCCCTCAGGCGCAGGGGAAGGCAATGGCAAACCTCCTCTGAACAAATCTTGTCAAGAAAACCCCATGATAGGGTCACCATAAGTCAGAAGTGACTTGAAGGCCCACAACCACATCATCATAAAGGTATGGCTGTTTTGTGGAATTTGGAGGTTATTTCACTGACCCAGTGAGGATCATCCTCACCACCAACTAGGGGTGATTCAATGTTCTAACCTCAAAGGAGGACAAGGCCCCACAAAATGTAAGACATTGACGACAAATATAGGACTTGCTCAAATAAAAGCTTTAAAAAAGGTAAAGGTATTCCCTGTTGACAAGGTTGTCAAGTCGTGTCCGACCATATGGAACAGTGCTCTCCGTTATTAAGTCAAAGAGCCAATGTTGTCTGAAGATGACTCCAGTGGTCATGTGGCCAGCATGACTGCACAGAACACTGTTTACCTTCCCACCAAAGTGGTCCCTATTTATCTACTTGCGTTTACATGCTTTTGAACTGCTAGGTTGGCAGAAGCTGGGACTAGTGATGGGAGCTCACCCCATCATGCGGAAGCCGGGCCTCGAACTGCTAAAAACACCCACATAAATGCAAATCCATGCTTCTTTGGCATGCTCAAAATGGAGACATGTTGGAATTCCTCCTGGGCAGATGGCTGGCTTGTAGGGCATGTCCGGGAAAAGGAGGACGCGTCTGATCACCCTGCAGCAACCAGTCCCAGCATCTGCTGCTGTGGCTGCTGCGCTTTGAGGAAGGAGGGAGAGGATGGCAGAGGCAAAAGCTCCCCAGGGAGAGGACCACAGTCTCTTGGCCCCCTTGGCTCCCCTCCCAAGGGCCATCTCCATCCCTGCCTGCCTGCCTTTCCTGCTCCTGAAGCCTGGACTCAGCCTCCGCCCCTTTGTTCCCAGGCTCGCCTTGGCTGGCTCCGACTTTCAGCGCTTGATCAAGCCTTTCCTGCCATTGTCACTAGTCTCCAGCACTCGGCTGGGTGCGCCTTGGCTTTCTCTCAGACGCCTCCTCTCCTCTCCTCCCCTCCTGCCTGCCTCTTTCACTCCTTTCCCCTGAAGCTCAGTCAGTCCTGTGGTTGAAGAAAACAGCTGTCTCCTTCTGGAAGCAAAAAAGGAGACAGACGATGAGCCCCCCAGGATTTCCCTAAAGGCATCGGAATGCATGGATGCACTTCCCTGGAGTGAGTACTTCCACTTAGCCTAGAATATCTTTTTATAATGTATAACGTATTGAGGAATGACTACTTGCAAGGCACCCTTGGGGAGCTGGGCTTGATGTTTTCCGGAGTGTGTTTGCAAAGGGATCTGGGAGCATCTCTGAGACAAAAAAAATCAGTAGGCAAAAGGATCTTGTAGCACAGTGATCTCCACAATTTTGGTCCTCGTTTTGGACTGCAGCTCCCAGAATTCTTGATGGTTGGCCAAACTGACTAGGACTTCTGGGAACTGAAGTTCAAAATATCTGGAGGACCAAGGTTTGGGGACCACTGTAAATGTAGCACCTTTGAGAGGAAATGAAAGAAAGAAGCTGGGAGCAGGAACTTTCCTAGACTTGACTTTCCTTACATGCATCTGAGGAAGGAGGCTCAAGTCTAGCAAAGCTCAGGCTCCCAGCTTCTTTCTTTCAGTTAGTTTCAAAAGTGCTGCAAGATCCCCTTGCAAACTGATTTTTAGTCTAAAAGGTGCTAGAAGATCCCTTTGCCTACTGATTTTTTTTTAGTTTCAAAAGTGCTACAAGATCCCTTTGCAAACTGACTTTTAGTCTCAAAGATGCTACAAGCCCCTTTTGCCTACTGATTTTTAATCTTAAAGGTGCTGCAAGATCCCTTTCCCTACTGATTTTCCAGACTAACAAGGCTATGTCTCTGTGTATGTAATGTATGTGTACTGTCACTTTGTGGCTTCCCAGTTGTTTTTTTCATAGTCAAGAGACAGCTGCATACATTAGGAGATTGGTGGCTGGAAGCCACTAGTATGGCCTGCCCTTATATTGTTTCTCCCTTGATCTCTGCAAGGTGGTGGTTGTTGTGTGCCTTAATGTCCTTTTCAACATAGGGCAACCTTATGGTGAAGCTATCCTAAGTTTTCATTGTCAAGATTTGTTCAAATCTTGGTTTTTGTGCCATGGCTCGAGGCTGAGTGTGACTTGCCCAAGGTCACACAGTGGACTTTTGTGGCTGCGTGAGGATTTGAACCCTGGTCTCCAGAGTCATCGTCCACTGCTCAAACCACTGCACCATACCAAGGAGAGAAAAAAATAGCTCTTTCTGAATGCTGTGGCTCCTGTGAGAAATTCTCTGGATCCCAATGCTGAAACACACACAGTGGCTGCACATCTTCTGAGTTGTTCATTATCCCAGAATCTGATACAAGGCATCAGGTGAGACAGTCACATTTTTCAGTCTTTATTTAATTTGGCCCACTTTAATTTTTTAAAAAAGAACATTATTTGGAGGGATACAGATTTCTGAGTAATACATTTCCTGGAGAAAGTTGGAGTTCCCAAGGTTGAGCTGTATGCAATGAAACATGCCTAGGTTATCCCTGGGAAAACATTGGTGCATGGGTAGGAAAATTAGGTGTGCAGCAATACGTTATGTGTACACACATGTATAAAGCTGTGCTAATCTGTGAGAGGAAGATTTTTTAATTAAAAACAACAAAAATGCCTCCTAAGTATGTAAGCTTTCAGATATTTTATAACTCTTCATCCTAATTAGTAACCTTTTTGCTACTACCTACTCTGCTGAAACATTCTTCTTTCAGTCCCATGACAGGAAAAAAGGTGGGTTATTAATCAATTAATTAACTAAATAATTAAGTAAAATAAAACTTTAAATTTTGCATAATGTGACAGTTTGCCAGTTCTCTCTGGGTTGAAAAAGAACAATTCATAAGGGTCCAGTTCAATAAATGGACAGGCAGCAAAAAAGCTTGATTTATATAGATTCCTGGAAGGGTTGGAGAGATGCTCTCACTTAGCCATTCTTCCTGGTAAGGAAGTTCTGTGCAAAGCATTCTGTCTAGTTCTTATAAGGGTCTGTCACCTTACCAGATTTCATTGGAACAAAGTCCTGTGAGGCATGGGTTTTGATTTTTATCTTTCTCCCCTTGTACAATATGAGCTGGAATGAGATTGATTTTTTCCAACATACAGATCTTATAAAACCCCACAATTCAATAGGATGGAACTACCACACTTAAAGTGGTGTCAAGCTGCATTATTTCTACAGTGTAACTGCATCAACAGTGGGGTTTACTTCTGAATGAGCATGCACAGATCTAGGCTGCAGAAGGACAATCTTTAGAAACTGTAAAAACCCCTTCAATCTTAAATTCTCCAATTTTGTAATCATCTCCCTCCCCCCTTTAGAATTCCTTTTCTGCCAAAGAGTTCTGGTGCCTCACAAAGCTACAAATCCAGGGATTCTACAGGATGGAGCCATAACAGTTAAAGTGGTGTCAAACTATATTATTTCTGCAATGTAGGTAGATGCATCCTGTGTTTGGGAGGATTTAACTCTTGAGTAAGTATCCCTACTGTAGCAATCAAAGGCTGCAATTATGTATACAGACTTGCTTGGGAGTAAGCATCATACAACCCACAAGACATATTTTGACATGTACAGGGCTCTTCTTGTTTTAGCTGTAAAGGGAGACTACATTTGTGGGACACTTTTGGGGGCATGTGCATTATACACTTTGCTTACCATCTTTCCTTGGGAGCTTCCTATGCAGTTAGTATAGCCAAGTCTCCTCATTGCAGCCTGGGTGGATGATAAATTGCCTCTTTTGATCTGTTTGGTTAGAAGGGCTTCAGGCTGTGTGATAAAAATCAGGGAACAAAAGGAGGAGAGCCTGTAAGGAAGCACGAGGGGAGGTTCATGAACAGGACATCAGGAGTCAGTTCTTGGTTGTTCAAAAGCATTATTGTGTATAAGGATGAAGAAAAGTATACATGCTGTGTGTGTGTGAGAGAGAGAGATAACTTTTAATTTGATGAAAACAATAGAATAGTATCTGAACTGGTTGATTTTGGAGAGATCTGCTGGTGTGGCTTGGTTCTGTTTGAGTTTTGATAAGGCCTAAATGTTTTGGATTTTTTGTTTGTTTGTTTAAAGAAAAATCACAACTGGAAAGGGAGAACAGAAAAGATGAATTCCAGTTTTGAACTTTACCAATTTCACACTGAGGATTTTTTTTTTCCAGATCAAATATTGTTAAACAAATCTTTTTATGGATGATTTGCATAGAACAGTCAACATTTTATAGCTTCTGTTTCCATTGTAATACTGCTACATCTTTGCAGCAATCTATGAAAATGTGTGTGTGTGTGTGTGTGTGTAGAAACTGAATTATGTAAATATACGCTTGAGAGTTTTAAAAATAGCTGCCAGTCTGACTAAGGCTTCGCTTGAAAACTTTTCCCCCAAGTTCACATCAGCCCTCCGCAACATTGGGTGAATACAGATAAGGATTTGCCAAGGGATGATTCACTGCAATAAGTGTATGCAGCCAATTAATAAGATGGTTTTCTATATCATCCTTTATCCAGAGCTTGGAAAATTACTTTTGTGCACTATAACTTCCAGGCCTGATTATTTATTTTTTTATTTTTTTTAATGAGGAAAGCCATTGTGATAAAAGATATAGTTCTCTCATACAACAGCCTGACATGAGCTGATCCTGAAACACATGCCTACAGGTCCACATTCAGGGTCACCTAGAGCAGGTGTAGGTTGACTTCAGGCTTGCAGGAGCAATTGTGGCATTGTTGTATCACCTGAAGCCTGGTGCAAAAGACACCACATTAAAGGCTCATGAATCTGTACTGTAATAACTGAGCTCCAGACAAGAATGGACTCCTGTTTGCCCCAAACTTTTGTCTGGGGCTGGCTAGCCTGCAGAAAATTACCCAGAAAACTCTCAGTAGATCCCAAAATGCTTTTTACCCACTTCT